AATTTGAATAATAATTAACATGTATTTGTTACTTTATAGATTTAATAGATATTTGTTGTTACTTTATTAACATTTTTACGCTTATAAGTAAAAACGGCTGCTGCTATGATTTTGTATTGGTTTATGAGCTCGTTGATGTCCTAATTTAGGATCTTCTTTTTAATAAATTCTTAAAAATGTTAAATATAAAAAGGGCCCGGCGAGGGTGTTTGCCCCGGGGGCTGGTGTTGGCTCTCGACGCTCCTGACCATTTGGTCATCTTCAGTGTATTTTTAAGAAACTATAGATGTCTTTTTTTAAATGACGTATTTCAAAACTTGGGTGACTGATATACTGTACCTGTTGAAGAACTATATTCATTGAAACTGGTAAAAACCAGAAGAGTTAAAGATATTCGAAACCGGAAGTAAAAAAAGCGGCATCGGTACAGATTTATTTGAAACTTTCTGCATCAGTTTGTATTTTAAATATTTTACCTAAGCTGGAATCGAACCTTAAATGACAACGCTTTCTTCTGTGATTTAAAAACAAAATGTTTAACCAAAGCTACGTTATTATATATATTTTTTCTTTTCTTACAGTGCCAGAATGAGGAAATCGGCACCGATGTCCCCCAGTAAGAATCCTTCTTTATCCCATGACAGTGCTTCGGTATTTACTGCCGGCGACGACTGTGCTATTAATGAACTGCTTGAGGGGTGGATGGAACTTGACGTATTTCTTCCGGATGGTAGAAAAATCCGAACAACAGTGGAAAGAAGGTGAAAAATGTAGATTAGACTTAGAAGGAGGGGGTGGGGAGATTAAAGAACACGTACATAGGTGACGGTAAATTCCCGTCGTTTGGTAGGAGAATAATAAGTCCAAGAGTTGGCGGTGGATGCTGTTAGCTAGTTGCCTTCCCTCAAGTTTATTCATTTCAAAATTATGGACAGCTATTCTAATTTCTGAAACAAAGTTACAAACTGAAAGGCAGATTTAAGCTGCTGAAGTAACTTAACTCGAAGAATAAATAAAGAATAGTATCATAACCCATATCTTGTTTCACCACGTTTGTTTTTGTATTTTTAATATAATTACCAAACATGTAGTATATCAAGTGTCGTTTCATAGTAAAGACCTTTATGGGGGAATCTAGATGTCAAGCCTAACTTTTCAAGGTCTGGGTGATTACAAACCTGTTTGTGTGTCAACTGCTAAACCTTGTGCGTGAGTGTTTTACTTAGTTAAATCCCGTGTTTCTCAACTTCTTTAAATGTTGCGTGTTTTTTACTCCTTTAGCACGTGGAACTGTAGTTGGGTGGTACGTGTCTCGTTACTGTCAACAAAAATAATAACGAAATAAAAAATCCAGCTCCGTACCTTGGGTCTGTTATAAAGCGACAGTCAAATACCACTATCTCATCTGACAAGAGAAGCCTAAAAGTTGATGCTGGTTGTTAGTGTTGACTGACTAGCTGCCTTTCCTCAGTCAAATACCACTATCTCATCTGACAAGAGTAGCCTAAAAGTTGATGCTGGTTACTGTTGACTGACTTGGTGCCTTTCCTCTAGTTTATCACTTTAAAATTAGGGTTAAACTATATATATACCGTATTAAACATTAAGTGGCGTGGATTTATTTAGAAAATATGGGTAAGTCTTGATTTTATTTCTCCGGTTTAACGCGTGTTAGCAGTTTTAATGTGTTGCTAGAGACGGTAAAACGGTGTTATCAATAGGAGCGTGGGCCGGCTTTTCCAATATTTTGAGCGATGTCACACGAACCGTTCGTCAAAAGTACCCCTGCTGCACGGGGCAGTAAAATTACTTTTGTTTAGCGTCGGTTTCACGTATTTTGCTACCGATCACTTTGTTCAGCTGAGCTCTCGTTCTCGGCTT